CATTCATTCATTCATTCATTCATTCATTCATTCATTCATTCATTCATTCATTCATTCATTCATTCATTCATTCATTCATTCATTCATTCATTTATCATTAGGACATAGAACCTGTTGTTAATTTATTTGAATCCCACCACTGGATACATTTCAGTTGGTGCAGGCTGAGGATGTGGACAAGGATTCGTGGAGAGGTGAAAGCCACCACATGTGTGCTAGACCCTTGCCCTTCCCAGTTTATAAAAGCAAGCAGAAGGGAACGGGCTAAATGGATAAGGAAAGTGGTGAATGCTTCCCTGCAGCAAAACAGAGTGCCAGCAAGTTTAAAGCATCATAAGACCATTATTGAAAAAGTACTCTTTGAATTCCATGGTAATAGACAACAACTGGCTAGTCTTAAATATTCCATTTCTGGGCAAGGTGCTGAAGCCTGAGATGTTTTCTCAACAGCAGAGAATCTTGGATGAATCAGATTATCTAGACCCATTTCAGACAGGTTTTAGGTATGGGTATGGAATAGAGACAGCTTTTGTCATCTCAGTGGATGACCTACACTAGGAACTGTACAGGAGGAGTACATGACCCTGTTGGTTTTGCTGTACCTCTCAGTGGCTTTTGATACCATTGACATTCTGGGCTGTCTCTCAGGGATGGGACTTGGAGACACTGTTGCCCAGTTCCTCTGGTCCTTTATGGAGGGGAGTCCCCAGAAGGTGGTGCAAGGAGACTCCTGTTCAGCACCCTGACCATTGGCCTGTGATGTCCCTCAAGAGTTCTGTTTTGCCCTCCATGCTATGTAACATATCCATGAAACCACTCAGAGGGGTTATCCAGTATGCTGATGACACCCGACTCTATCCCTCCTTTCCATCTGATCCTATGGTTGCTGTCTCAGTTCTAAACCAGTGCCTAGTGTCAGTAATGGACTGGATGAAGGCAAACAAATTAATCCAGACAAGATAGAGGCGCTCCTGGTCAATCAAAAGGCAGATATGAGAATAAAGAAGCTGATGGGGTTACAGTCCCCTTGAAAACCCAGGCCTGGCATTTGAGTTTACTCCTGGATTCATCCCAAAGCCTGGATTCCCAAGATTTGGCTGCACTCAGGAGTACATTTGTACAATTAAAACTGGTCGACCATCTGCACTCGATTTTGAGACATCTGATTTGGTCACCAATACACATTCCTTAATTACATCCTGCTTAGATTGCTATAACATACTCTACTTGGGGCTGCTTTGAAGATGGTTTAGAAGCTTCCATTCGTTCAAAATGCAGCTGCCGGACTCCTGTCTGGAGTATATAATGTCCTTGCTGCAACACTGGCTACCAGTCTGTTTCAGGCCCAATTCAAAGTGCTGGTTTATCAGGCCCTGCGCTATAAAGCCCTGCGCTTTTTGGATCCCGGGTAGCTGAAGGAATGTATCTCCCCATATGAGCCTTCTGGGCCCTTGAAATGGCAAGGTGCTGGAACTGCCTGAGGGAAAACATTTATATGGTTGCCTACGGTAAATAAGAATCAAATCCACACTATCAGAACAGGTAGCTAAAACAGCTGATGCTGTGATAAGGCCATGATAAGTGATAGTTTCCTCCTTTGTTTCAGGCAATCACAGCTCCACAAATGATAGGTGCAGGTGGACCACTGGTTTTTGTTGTTGGCAAATTCGTCTTACAAACTGAAGGGCAAGGCACTGCTTGAGCAAGTCACCTGACCATTACCATCCCAAGACCTGCCAAAATGAATGCTGAGCTAGTTAGATAATTAGGTCCTGAGAGAGTTTTGTGTTGATTTGAGGCTTGTGAGAAAAAACTCCAGCTCATTTCCAGATTAGCTGTAACTGATGCTGAGATGGGAAACCCAGGAACAGGAGTATGTGAAAAATGATACAGTGCATCTCCAAAGGGGAAAGCACTAGTCTGAATGAAGGTAAATTTTGTCCCATTTCCCAACCTTCATAATGCAGACTTCTGTGAATATACAGAGGCTGGAATGGTATTATCCCTTGTCCATGACAGCGTATTGCATATGAGGCTGCAGTAATGCAGAAACTTAATCAGAGCGAATGCATCTTCTCAGCCATTCCTTACCAAGTGGAGCATAAAGAGATCCAGTTTTTACAACTGTTTGTCACTGGAGCCAGAGGAAAAAAACATGGCTTGAAAACATTCATTTTATGATTGTCTCCCAAGCTAACCATTTTCATCTATTTTTTTACTGTTCATTAATGCCCATTTCTGATTTTTTTTCCTTTTTAAGGAGCATGGAAATCTGATAATAGCTTAACAATATTCTCTTCTATACGACAGCTTTAAGTAGACAGTCAGTGTGCAAAGATGTCCACTAGAACTATGCTAAAGGAAATCTGGTATGACATCTACTGAAGAAAAAAAAAATCAATTATTTAAAGGAAACACTGCATAGAAGACTCACTGATCTCAGCACAGCACTGGAGGCTAAACTACCAGTTTTACAATTCAGTCCTATGCATGTCTACTCAAAAGTAAGTCCCATAGGGTTGAACAGGGCTTACTATAGATAAATGTGTATAAGGTAGAGGTTTATGAACTACTATTTGTATTGCATGTGCAAAGGGAGTATTTAATTTTTTACAAATTCAGAATTGCACTAATTAATAAAATGGTAAATGATTCTTTTCTCTAGATACCTGTTTTTTTAAAAAAATAATACTATTGCTTAAAATAACCAGAGGTTTTTATGGCAAATAATACTGATAAAGTCTGAAATCTCGTTTAACTAAAGGTACATAGTAACCTTTATTTATAACAATTTACTGGAATTTAAATGCTGATCCTGGCTGTGATCTTTGTGCTACTTCTTTCTTTACTTCTGTACTGTGCAGGTGGAATTTCTCTAGAAGTAGTACTTTCTGTAGTTTTCAAACAAGAAGCTTTTAAAATTATTTTGGATTGTTACTTTTTAAAATGCCCAGGTTATTGTTATTCAGTTAGTCTTATTCAGCATTGTTTATTCAAGAGTGGCAAAAAACAAGTTGTCTGAATCTTCTCACACTTAAAACTGTAGATTGAACACATATTTTTAAATTAGAAGGCAGGATGAAAGCAATCCATTTACTCTCCCCTGCTGGACTAATAATGGCTCAAAAAGGATAACTTTCTGTCTAGATATTTTTGTCTTTTATTGAATCAGTCTGAAGAATCAGCCATGAGCCATAATCTTCTGATCATAATGCTTTGATCAGGATAAACATAAATAATAATGTGGTTATTTATGCATTGCCTCTAAGGAGGAAATGCGTCACCAAAACGGGGGATAAAATACTATTTTCCTAAAAAAATTGCATACAGTAATTTATATGTTTAGATACACGTTTAGAAACAATTGCTGTGATTTAGAGAGAAAGATAATAAATCTCACCACAAGGATGTGGGTGGAAGGGAGAGAGTGGCTTATTGACTCAGCAGGAATTTTGTGAGTCAACTCCTTTGTATGTCCCATTGATTCAATGGGCCTGCTCTAGTTGCGACTTCCTACAGGATTTTAGCCATTAGATTAATATGTTAGTTAGTTGTCCATGTGATAACTGTTGATGGACAACTTCAAGACCCCTATTGTCATGCTGTTTTTGGTTCTTTATATTTCAGTCACAAGACTGCCCTATGGGAGCCCTATAAATATATAAATTCCTGGTAAAAAATCATGTGGCTCATCTAATGATGATGCTGCCAATGCACTCCATGCATGCCACTGTCCAGTTACCCACCAGACAAATAAGCCATGTGGAGGAGAAAGAGCATCAGAGTCCTTGCCTGCTCCATGTGCAATGAAAACAGAGCTGGTGAATCTGACCCACCAGGCAAGAACAACATTGACAGGCAGCCAGGGCTAGAAGAGGCTTCTCACCTACCTTGGCATTGACTGGCTGGTGTTGTTCTTGCTGGGAAGGGGCATCTGGTGGCTTCATTTTTGTTAAAACAAGACATGTGATAGGAGTGATTTTGTTCTAGTTTGCAATTAACCTGCAGTAAAATGCTTGACATATTTACATAACAATAAAGATGGGTTATCTTGATGGTCTTAATTATCTTCCTAGATACCTCATAGCTACCCTTGTCTACATCTTATTCTGATTTCTTGGCTACAGTGTCCATTCTGAGAGGTGGGTTAAGCAAGTTATAGGGGAAAAAAATCAGCTATTTCAGTTTCTTCATTGTCAACCGTAAAGTTGCATTGCTTTTCTGTAATTATTTCTATTCCCCCCCTTAATGTTCTGTTGTAGTCCTGCTTTAGCATTTTCTCCTCTCACCTTCATCATTCTGAGGCACTATTGTTTTCTGCCAGTGTCATGTTGTCACCAAGACTTCTTTCATGGTTGATGTTTCTTCCACTAATATTCACTCTTTCTTCATCACAGTCTAATCCACCTTTTCTTATGCTGTGTTCTGCATATAGATAGAACAAATAGGGAGATAAAATACACCCTTGTTTGACATTTTTTAAAGAAACCATCCTGCCCCACACTATTTTGTCTTAAGAAAATGTCATAAAAAGTTATGTTATGGCACCCTGCTTCCTTTATAACTATCTATAGAGTTCCATCATTCCCACAGTCAAAATGTTTACCATAACCGACAGTATGAAGCAAAAACTTTTCTGAAATTTTTGGTTAACTCCAACAGCTAAATTCATTTGCAATACGCTTCTTCCTCTTCTTAGTCCATCTTGAATATTTGGCATTTCTCATTCATAAATGATAAAAGTCTTTGTTGTAAAATCTATAATAGTTGCTATTTTCTTTCTCTTTGCAATGATTATTACAGTATAATAGTTCTCTTTATCCTATGTGCAAATCACTTAAAAGATGCATTCAGGATTCTGACTTTATTTCTTTCACCTTTTATCTTTTGTCTGTCATTAACAATTTTAAGAGCTTCCTGAGTCATTAATTGAGTCTTTTATTTTGACTACAAGAATAATCTCTTTTGGAGTCTTCCCTGATAATATATGTAGCTTCAACTCATAGTTCTTTTGTGTCATAGTCAGCTGAATTTAGTAATACAAATCTATTCTTTAAATTATTCAAGAATGATAAATTATATTTTGGCACTATGATTGTTTCAGCATTCTTCTTCCACTTTATTCTGATTTTTAATATTAGCAGCTCACGGGCTATACTGCAGTTGGCTTCTGATCTTATGTTTGAAGAGAGAATAGAGTTTCTCTATGTTCTAGTCCCAAATACAGTATTTAATAGTTTTGATCATTCAGTAACATCCATATGTACAGTCATGTGTTCAGTTGCCTGAACTATGTGTTCCAGATAAGCAATTTGCTCGCTTCACAGAATTTTGTAAATCATTCTTCTTTTTATTCTGCACAGCAATGGCAAGAGTGAGCTTCAGTTTCACTGCCATTGTCTATTAATCCTCTGTTAGTCTCACCCTCCACTACTGCTACCCCCACCCAGTAGCTGCACTTCAAGAACATCTGTGTCCCCACCATCACTGGAACTATCGGTTCTCTTCTGCTGATGCTATTGTTAATTCCTGGAAAAGATGGATTTATCTTAATTTGGTGTTTTAGATTTGACCATTCCACCTTGTGTGTCTACATTCATAATGGAAGGTAACATCTTGACTATAGTATTCTGAGCTTCCCTCAGAAATTCAAAACTGTTCACTATGCTAAGATGTCCATCCAAGACAAGAGATGTTGGATATGATGATCTCTTAAATTAGAGTCCCCTAATTACAGTGGCAATTAGGGGACCAAGCTATACAGCATATAAGTTGCTTCCATCTTCTGATGGAAACCAGCCCAAATGTATATTCTCCTGCTGTGTTGAAACTGAAGATGTTTAACTCTGTGGTTATGAAGGACATGGTGCTGTTCCTAAGAACCTATTCCTTTTGTCAAATAGAGAAGGATCATATATAGCTCAGTAGTTTAGGTATCTCGCTGCAGAGCCAAAGGTTGGGAGTAAACATGGGATATTTGTATTCATATCTCCAGCTGGGCTACTTCCATGATTGGAATGATGCTGGCCACACGTACCATGCAGCAACCGGTAATTGGACCTGCTGGTTGAGGGCGGAGGGACTGGATGTTCCAGACACCTGTGGTGCCGATATTCATATCCATATCCCCAGGGATACAAATCCTATGTCTAGTTGGGAGTTCAGTTCCTCACTGTGCCTCCTTGACAGGGGCTGGACTTCATGATCCATAAAGTCCTTTCCAGCAATACAGTTCTAAGATGATGATGATGATGATGATAATGATTATACTGTAAACGCCAATAAGAAAATCACACCAGATGATGATGATGATGATGATTATAATACTTTAAACGCCAATAAGAAAATCACACCATGCTTCCTAACATACTGATTTATGCTCCTGCATCATATTTTACCCTTGAGTGAATTCCCAGTTCAGTTTTATTATAAAAATACATCCAAAAATACAGCTGTAAGTTGTTTTCCACCAAAAGCTAGCAAAACTCTTCTTCACTGGTGCCCATGCTGTGCTTTCTGCAGAGAGAGCTTACTAGAAACAACTCCCTCTGTCTCCATCAGTAATTATGCAGGTCATAAATCATCTAGGGCATAAATTCAATAAAAGTGCAGTTTTTATTTATTTGGTGTCAAATCTGTGTTCTTTGTATTTGTTTAAATAATAAAGTTACATTTATCAAGTTCTAAATGAACATACACCTGAATGTTTATATCTGGAAGAATCACTATAAGTTAATGTTTTTGTCTTTCTTGCTTATTATAAAGAAAGAGTAATAATCCTTTGATGGATTGTGATCAAAGGGTGGCAAGGTAGAAATCATAAACATAGTTACCTGGGAGTAAGCTCTACTAAAACGTGAAGGAAATAATTGTTGGCAAAGTTAGAGGGAAGAAACGGTGGGTAGGAAGGATGCTTAGTATATTCTTAGGAAACATTTTCTATATTTATTTTTCCTCCATTCATGGTTCCAAACCTGGAAGTAAGCCTCACTGAGGGAAAAATGTTCAAGGGACAGAGTTATAGTGGAGAACTTGTGTGAGTAAGCATTTCATTTTTCCATCAAGCCTGCTCTGTAACTACCCGGTGCCAAGACCTCCATTGTCTTAACCAATGTGGGCCTGGGGATGTTATTTATAACAATTGTTGATCAACTTTCTGCCCATCAAGGCTCTCTAAGCAATTTGTAATCTATTAAAAAATTAAAACATTTTTTTTCAAAAAGAAGAAAATGAAGAAGTAAAAACAGTGTGTACAAGCAAACTCAAAACTTTTGCTAAAAGTCAATTTAAAAACAAGTCCTAGGAACCAGAGGCCCTTCATAACAATGCAGTTTTAGCTATCTGTCAGAAGCTTAAAAGAAATGGCACCAACCCAACTTCCCCTGAGAAAGAATGAATAATACAGTTTAGTTGCACCGCACAAGCTTTGTCTGAAAGTACCCATTACATACAGTCCTAAAGTAACTCTTGGAAAGTTGTTGCAGCAGTATAATGGGAGAGGAGAGACTGAGCACTTTCTCAGAACGTGGCGCCTCGTGGCGCAGTGGTTAAAACGCTGTATTGCAGCTAAAACTGTGCTCACGACCTGGGGTTCAAATCCCAGGTAGCCGGCTCAAGGTTGACTCAGCCTTCCATCCTTCCGAGGTCGGTAAAATGAGTACCCAGCTTGCTGGGGGGGGGGCAATGTGTAGCCTGTATAATTAAAAAAAAATTGTAAACCGCCCGGAGAGTGCTTGTAGTGCTATGGGGCGGTATATAAGTCCAAAAACAAAAAAAGAAGAAGAAGAAGAACCTGGTAGAAACAAAACATAATAAATAAGATCCCTGGCGAATGGTTGAGCAGAGGATTTATATTCTTTGTCTGCAGTTACAGTTTCCCTGGATTAAACGAATGACTGGGTTAGTTCCCCCCACCCAGCCGAGTAGTTAATCATAAAGTCAACAGTCCTCTCAGTGTTCACCCTTGGGAGCCTTTGCAAACACCACTTCAAATACCAAGCATTAAGAATGAGGAAGGAGCAGTTAGAGCAGGTGAGGAAGGAAAGCTGGTCCATTGGCTTAAATACTCTCTGCCTGCTCTTGTTCATCCTTCATTTGAGAAGGCAAAAATGGGGCATGGCAATAAGCATGTTTAATATGAATGAGCGTCAAAGAAGGGTTGACTGTCAGAATAAGAAAGGAGATGGGCGAGGGGAAAACCTTGATTGCTTTTCAATTGGAAAGGCCAACAATGAGTTAGATTTCGATGCTAAAGAAGTAATCTTTTCTTCAAATTCATGGAACAACAGGCAAAGCCCTCGGGGACTGGAGAAGGGCAAACATAATGGTATTTTCAAGAGGATTAATAAAGTAGTTTCAGAGTACTAAAGACAAAGTAGCAGTTTGACAGCACCCTTCAAGTGGCAGGATCATAAATTAATTTATGAGTATCTAGAGAAAAGTGTGTGCATTCCTTAATCATCTGGCTGATCTAATTGGCTGAGAATCAAAGTCCTGACTTGTTTTGATTTATCTAGCAAAAATCAAAAATTATTATTCATTTCAGTAATAACCCTTGGTAACCAAATGTCTGCCCCAACCCATCATGTCTTATGGATATTTTGGATTGATCATGCTGCCTGGCGCCCATGATAGCTGATGTCTAAAACACCAGGATGGCAACAGTTGGGGAAGACATAGAAACAGATTGGCACGATGGGCTAGATGGAATTACTGTTGGAGGATAGCCAAACCTCTGAAAAGCATTGCCCAGCTTGTTATTCATTGACAACTCATTGCCATATTGACAGGAGGATGTTATGCCCAAAGCTGTTTTCACTACACACACGTGCTCAACACAAAGCTAGCTTATTGAGTTGCCTTTCCACCAGTTATTCAGGGTACCATATGAACTTATTCAAATATCAGACTCCTGAGAGTAGTGTCTTACAGGCATCTGATCCTGAAGCACCATGCCCTGATGTCACTTGTTTACTGCTAATTCTTTTTCATTGTACGTATTGCTATGGGTTTGGGCCCTCTCTTCATTATTATGAATAAACCAAAGACTTTCAGCAAAAGATAAGTTGCTTAACTATAATTGGTGCCCTTCAAGTAGTCATTTGTGCCATGATTTAAACTGTAGGAATGGGTATTACATCCCACCTACCTCCAGCTGAAGAGGTCCCTTTCTTTGCTCCTATTGCCAAGTCTTGCTTGCTTGCCCTCACCCACTGGCCCAATTTTCACCACTGCCTTGAAAGAGGATGCCAGTCCAATAGGATGCTATGGCTTCCTTTCCTTCCTCTTGACCTTTATTGCTGGCTTGGAGGAAACAGGTGACCATGCAAAGAGTATGAGGCAGTGGCGGAAGCAGGATTTAAAGAGAGATCAGCAGTGTGCTTGAGCAGGTACCCAACGATGCTGACCCTGATCAATTTTGCACTCCTTCCCACTGCCAATGCTTATTTAGACTAGATGATATCCTGAAAGAACTTGTCCTGCGCAGAGAGCAAGTTCAGAGAGGTTTTGCTATCTGGGGAGAAGGGCAGGAGCATCAGTAAAACTGACAACATGGCTAGGCAAACACCTTTTTTTGCTTGCTAGTTAAACCTCTTGATCAATTATCATTTCCCATTTACAGTAATAACGATAGCCATCCCAGGTAATATAATCCCATTATTATAAACACTGTGTAGGAACAATATAACTGTTTAGTCATTGTGAATGTTTTAATTTTCATACATGTTTCTTTCATACATGCACTTTCCCACTTCCACCACTTGATCCATCTGCTTCTGGAATACAACTGAAATAAAGAAGTAGTAGAAGTGCTGTCTTCCAAGCTAAGAGACACACATAGATGCCCGGCTTATAAGGTTCTTGGCCCTCCCTGAATGTACAGGTGAAGGTGGTATCCATATCAGAGACTGGTCTCTGCTTATTCAGAAATATCTGTTTTGATTTTTCTGTAGAACTGTTTCCATCCAGTTCTAAAGCAATTAAAGTTTGGGAAATTATTGAGGTGAGGCCTCAGCCTGCTTCTTGCCCCATATAAGAATTTAGAGTATCAGGGAGGCAGGTTACAACTTCCACAACAAAAATATTCCCAAGATGAGGGGTTTCAGCAGCGATCCAATAGCCACTTGTCTGGGAGAAGGCCCCTTTGAACTCACCAGGTCTTATTCCTGCCTATATATTTGTAGGATTGTACTGTCAATTTCTTTAATACAGAATGGCATTTTTCCATGGCCTGAAAGAGAAAGACATACCTTTTTCAGTACGGCTTTCCTGGACAACTTTGGTCAAAACCTGCCTTCTGGATAGGAACAAACTGTGGTTGACAGGATAACATTATAGGGTTTTTAAAACACACACAAACATGCCAGTCATTTCCTTTTTAAATAAAATGTAATGAAACAATCTACTTCATGGATTGCTGCCTTGTTGTGGTGAAGGGGCTTGAGTAATTCAGAGAAGCTATGGGCTATGCTATGTAGGGACACCCAAGATGGACAGGTCATTGTGAAGAGTTCTGACTAAACACAATCCAGCTGGGGCAGGAATTGGCAAGCCACTCCAGTATCTTTGCCAAGAATGCTCCATGATCAGAAACAAAAGGCTAAAAGATATGACGCTAGAAGATGAGCCCCTCAGGTCGGAAGGCGTCCAGCATGCTACTGAGGAAAAGCGGAGGACAAGTATAAGTAGCTCCAATGGTAATGAAGTGGTTGGGCCAAAAGTCGAAAGGGCGCTCAGTTGCAGACGTGCGTGGAAGTGAAAGGAAAGTCCAATGCTGCAAAGAAAAATGCTGCATAGGAACCTGGTATGTAAGATCTATGAACCTTGGTAAGTTGGATGTCGTCAAACAGGAAATGGCAAGAATAAACATTGACATCCTGGGCGTCAGTGAACTAAGATGGACGGGAATGGGTGAATTCAATTCAGACTATTATCATATCTACTATTCTGAGCAAGAATCCCATAGAAGAAATGGAGTAGCCCTCATAGTCAACAAAAGAGTGGGAAAAGCTGTACTGGGATACAATCGCAAATATGAGAGAATGATTTCAATACGAATCCAAGGCAGATCTTTCAACATCACAGTTATCCAAGTTTATGCACCAACCACCTACTGATGTATGGAAGTGAGAGCCGGACCATAAAGAAGGCTGACCACCAAAGAACTGATGCTTTTGAATTGTGGTGCTGGAGGAGACTCTTGAGAGTCCCCTGGACTGCAAGGAGAACAAACCTATCCATTCTAAAGAAAATCAAACCTGAGTGCTCATGAAGCTGAGGCTCCAATACTTTGGCCATCTCATGAGAAGAGAAGACTCCCTGGAAAAGACCCTGATGTTGGGAAAGTGTGAAGGCACGAGGAGAAGGGGACAACGGAGGACGAGATGGTTGGACAGTGTCACCGAAGCTACCAACATGAATTTGACCCAACTCTGGGAGGCAGTGGAAGACAGGAGGGCGTGGCGTGCTCTGGTCCATGGGGTCACGAAGAGTCAGACACGACTTAATGACTAAACAACAACAACAACAAATGAAACAATGAAACAGACTATAGCGAAAGGGTAGAAAAACATGCAGGGAGTATCAATCGCAGCATGGCACTCAAGAGTAAGGTAAGTAGCACTACAAGAAAAATTAATCACCAAATTGCATATAGTTAAAGGGTTAAAACACTTTGACTCTTTTGCAGCTGACTGGCATCTTTTTATTGTTTATATGAACAGAATGAATAATAAGGGGTTCCCTGATGTATACAGAAATTATTGGTAATTGTAATATACTTGGAAGATACTTATAATTTTCCTAAAAAAGAGTTATAAGAATTTTGATATGACTTTGCCATGGGAATGGGAGGGTGGGAGGGAAGAAGGACATAAAATATAAGAATGTATATGTGAATGTATATAATTACTGTAATTTAAAATATTTTTAAAAAAAGATGAATTCCTCCCCCTCAGTTCATACATTATCTACTTAAAGCAAAACTCTGTGGTTGACTTTGGAAGGTGTAACAGCAGCAAAGAATCAAGCAACTGTGCTTCTTTGGATACATCAGATCTTTTAAAAATCAGTGCCTTTTAAACAATAGCCCATAAAGAGAAAATGATAAATTATGGATATATTCTGTTGAGAAATGTTACGGGTTAGTGATGGTGGTGGGGGAATATGCGCCCACAAGAGATGAATCTATAAATAGCTCCAACAGTATTGTCTCCTCTTATAGTCTCAGCAAACTGCAGCCAAGAACACTTCTTGTTTATGAAGCTGCCCGAATCGAGACACAACGGGAAAAAGGCAACAAACATCCTTTATAAAGTGTGGGGATTGCAAACATGAACTGGTTAGTTTAGTGCTCTCTTTGAAACCACATATATGATGTTGATGAACAGACACTTCCACATTTTAACTAGAAGCTGGGCTCAAACTCATGGACAAAATCCGGTTTACTTATGTGATCATAGAATGGCAATTATACCATTTTTTTCTCCCCCCCCCTCCACCGCCAAGAGGGGTATTGTGCATATTACTGATTGCAATCTAGTTGAGAAATCAGGCATAAAGAGGGAGCCCGCTAGAGAATACAAGAACACTGCACAATGTCCCTTTTGCAAACTTGCTTTTTTAACAAGAGATTGATCCAGATATTTTTGTAGCAGTCTTTAGCCTTCAGGCTTGCACCTTTGTCCAGCTATGTCTTTGCCAAGCTAAGAAAGCAAACATATCCATGGTAAGAAATATCCAGGCCACAAAAGCTGAACACTGTACTAGGTTTGAGCTCCTTGTCATTTTTTTAAAAGTATACTGACATTAAATTTGCCTAATATTTTCTACAGTTGTAAGTTTTTAAATGTCATCTCAAAGAAGTCATCAACAGTCTGGTAGGTTAAAAAACGCAGTTCTGTTCTTTTTATCAGATATCACTGCAGGATAATGTCAGCCAACTGAACATTACAGGTTGGGATCCCACCTGAATGTAGATGAATGCTAGTGGCTAAAAATATTTCATCGCAGGGAGGATTTGAAAGTTCTGAGCAAAGTGGATTTCCTTTGGGAAACTGACAACTGAAAGATATTTAATGTTTTAAGGCTCTGCTGGAGCAGGATAAATGTGAAAACCAAAGTTCATGTTTTGGCAGTTTAGACTGGCTCAAAGCAGAAAGCAGAATCTTCCTGGGGAAAAATAAAACAACAGAAGGATTCAATACTGCCATCCAGTGGGTATGAAGTTTGGAGAAGCAGCTCAGTCAGTACTGTTGCCAGGTTGCAACCTGGATCATTCCTCTTTTTTTAACCTTGAATCCTTCTGCTCTCTAACAAGAAATCTTGTTCCTCTTGTTGATTTCCTATTCAGTTTCAATAGGTCCTCTTATCCCCATATCCCCACTGTTCTGCCATGAACTCTTAGATGAATCACTGATTCTCAGTCTCAACTTCTCATAATCTATACTTGGAGAATGTATCAGAGGTGCACATGGATGAATATATGTATATGAAGAGCTGTGTAAATACTAAATATTATTTTCCGGTATTGTTAACGGAATTATAATTTATGACACGGTTGGCCATGCAGGGCTAGCCTTGCCTTCAGGTGACAGATGCTAGGATGCAGGACAGGTGGGGAAATGTTGGAGGACACAGCTGTGCCACGTTACCTGCTCTGAGACAACCTGCGGCCTTTCCTGCCAGATGCTAACTTGCTGACCTAGCATCCCACTGCCTGTCCAGTTGGCTTCTGCTTAAAGGGTGAGGTGTCTCTTCGCTTTTGTCTCGGGCAGCAAAATGACTTGGGCCAGAACAGCTGAAGTGGGTCATGTGCATCTTTAAATGACTTAGATGGAGGTGACTAACAGATGTATTTTTCACTTTGATTCTTATTTCAGCAGTGGAATGTTGGCCTGCTTCCAGACCATCTGCATCTGTAGTGACGATTCTCCCTTTTGCAGTTTCTGACCCAACGGTGGTTCCTTTTTTTTCTCCTGCACCTAGATTCAGAGAACCGTACGTTAAATGGATCCTTTCTTTCCTTCTCTTCTGTCCCCTTGCAGCCTGACCCAGCAGGCCGAGACATTTCTATTCTTCCCATCTTGGAGCACTGTGAAAACACTCACATGACCATTTGGCTTGGCATTGTTTATGCCTACAAAGGACTACTCATGGTAAGTTTAAAATGGTAAGTGTAGTTCAGACCCAGTGTGGAATCATAATCAGAGCAGTGATTCCAAACTTTGAGTCCTCAGAAGTTGTAGGAAATCAACCCAGAAGTCCCAGCCAACATGGCCAACAGGGACAGATTTTGGAGGTTGTAATCCAAGAATCTCTGTGGAACACATGTTAGAAAGCGGCCCGTCCAGAGCCATCACTGTAGTCATGTCCCATCCCTCAGTGCTCATGATACCACTGAGGTCTTGCCTTCAGATCACTAAGAAAGGAAGTGGACAGTAAACTTGTCAACTCACTATTTCATCCCATTTAGTGATTTTCTGCCCATTTTACTTTGGGCATGCACTGAGGCAGACACTCGCTAAAGCCCATGTTAGGGGAAGGTGGCACATATTTCCTTGCCCTAGAATCTTACATATATTTATTACTTTATTGTACATTGATAATACACAGATGTTGTAGTAGTTTGAGCTATGTATGCAAAGTATGCTAACATATTGTACAGATTTCCCCCTCCTGGAAAAAAACTGTGCTGAAGCTTTTGCAACTGGCCATGTCCCGTATAGCTATGGCTGCATGCATATTATTTTGTGAACAGTATTAAACACAACCAAGAAAGGATACATCTTTCAACTGCCCTGATAGTTACTTAATTTAAAAGCTACACCCTGGTGTTTTTAGCTAGATGTGTATTGCTTTAACAGTGGGACTTTAGTTCTCCCACACATATGGCAGCAAATTTTAAGATAATTATTGCCATAGGCAACTCCCTTCCTCCAAGGATCTAATTTGATTTTTACTGTAGAATCTACTTCCTAACTTAGCCTGGTGCTATACTTCAAACTACATTTTGGTTGGTGCTCACATGGGTTTTGTCTAGCTCTACATATATAGGGAAATATCTTATAAGCAGACAGAGCTCTTAGCTAAGCTCCTGTATCCCTGCCCATAGAAATGGACCATTCAAAGGCTTTCAATGGAGAATTTAAAAAATCACCAAAAATTAACAACGACTCAGAACAACACCAAATTAAGGTTGCATAGGGTTCAGGAGGTGGGCTAATGATTGCAAGCATTTAAAGCAGGTTTCTAACAGTTTAAGACACATTTTCAGGAGCGAAAAAGGGACATCGTTAAGTGAAATTCCCTCATAGAGAACATTGTTAAACGATGGGGGAAATTCCTCAAAGAAACACATCGCTGTGTGATTTCATCATTGTATGAAGCAATCGTTGTGCGAGGCACCACTGTACTGTATACATGGTTTTGGTACTTGATCTTAATAATTGACATATATGCCATTTTAAAAGACTCACCCAGTTTCCATAAACTAGAACCCCCATATTCTTCACTGCCTTCCTTTTGTTGGGATGGACTGCTGAAAGATTGCAGTCCCTCTTTTCCACCACTTTAGTTTTCATTATGACTTCCTCTAGGGTTGAAATTCTGAAGCTGTCTTTGTTGTTTGTTTCTTTTGAATGTGGCAGAGTTGAAAGCGATATTTTGATCCACTGGTCTGCTAGTTGGCTATTATGGTTTGTGAGTGAGAACTGCTGAAAATGTATCTATATATCTATATGCATAGAAGCATATTTTTAAAGGGAGGAGAAGATCCAAGAAACCTGGAGGCGATTATAAGAAATGCATGGAAGATTCCACACACCCCATCGATGATTAAAGCCTAAGAGCACACCAGAGGTTTCCTTCCGAGTTTTCTTAATTCCTTTTTCCACACCAGACACATAATTGGCAGGTTGGCGCCTGATGCCATCCCCCAGGTTCCCCCTGTTTCACCTACCAACTTTGTTTTGGGTTCACCAGTTGCCCTTTGCTTAGGTATTTCAGCACTTTCTCCATGGAAACCACCTGACTCCTCGGTAAAACAGACAAACACACCAGCAAGCCTGAAGTCTGCCAATCCCTGGGACAGACTAGCCCACTGGCAGTGGAACCACATGAATATAAAAATAAACCCACCAATATATATATAAAAAGCAGCAGCAGCTCAAAAATAGGTGATTCTCTTGGAGTTTCACACTTCAGCCATTCTTTTTAAACCCCCATGTTCTCGCTTGCTTCAGTTTCCCCTTTCTGCATGATTGCTTCCTGGTAAAGGGAGCCAAAGTGGGTTCAAGGATGCAGGTCAGACAATACGACCCAGCCCTCTGCTTTGACCTCTCGTTTCAACCTGCAAATGCCCCCCACTTACTGCAAACCCTGCCCCCCCCAGTGCCAGCTGCTTCCCTGCACTGCCTTGCCAGTTTCTCTCCCATGTTAAGTTTCTCTCCCATGTCATTTCCCTATCCCTTTAGGCCTCAGCTGCCCACAAGAACAGTTATATGTGCTGCAGGCTTTTTGCTTTTAAATCTCTCAGCCAGTGGTCTGAGGGGTTCTGGGATCTATGGTCTGAAAAGGAGCTTTTCTAACTTCTGACCAGATGTAGTGGCCTTCTGGGCGTGCTTCCTGTTTTCTGGTGTGTCATGGTTGCCCCATGTTCACGTCCATGCTTCTCCCCATTAACCTCTGTGGTTTTCATGTGATTACGTTTAGATTGTGCAATTATATACCACACCAACAATGGGAACCCTTGAATTCAATACCATTAGGTGCAATTCAGCCAAAATTAAGGAACTTTACACCCCACTGATTTCAATGCAAAAGCTAAAAGTAAGGGACCCGTCAATCGGACTTAAATATGTGTGACTTTGGCTGAGTCACGCCACATGTTTCCATTTGCCGACATAAAGTGCTTGAAATATAATGCAGATATACGCAGAACAATTTGTGCCTATTGTGTTACAATCATTACTTCCTTTTCTTTTTCTGATTCCAGCTATTTGGTTGTTTCTTGGCTTGGGAGACTCGAAATGTGAGCATTCCAGCTCTGAACGACAGTAAATACATTGGCATGAGTGTTTATAATGTTGGCATCATGTGCATTATTGGAGCTGCTGTTTCCTTCCTCACACGGGACCAACCGAACGTACAATTTTGCATTGTGGCATTAGTCATTATATTTTGTAGCACCATTACACTTTGCTTAGTCTTTGTACCTAAGGTAAGCATCATTGGTTTATGATGTATTTTATTAATTGTGTGTGATTTTTGTAGGAAAACCAAATTCATTTCTGCTAGAAGTCACTGGGAAGATCTCCTGCACATGCCACATTGAAATGAATATGATCCTCCAAAGAAACATGATTGGATCACTAGATTATACCATGGGATTAATCCAACATTAATAGAGTTGATGCACTGAAACCATAAAGTCATAAAATTGTAGAGCTGGGAGGGACCCCTAGGGCCACTGAGCCCAGCTCCTTGCAGGAACAGGAAAATCACCCAGTAAAGCAACTCTGACAAGTAGCCCTCCAAACTTCACTGAAAAATCCACAATGAAATAGTCCACCGCCTCCCACAGCAGTCTGTTCCAGTGACAGCTGGTGACAGCTATTACTGGCAAGGGTACTTAAGTTAGTTGTGAGTGACTAACACACTCCGTTCATTTCAAGAAATCTAATCTAATTAGGGGTACTTGGTGTGGTGCAATGGACAGAATGATGGACTAGGACTTAGGAGACCTGGATTCGATTCCCTGTTCAACCATGGACAGTCACTGGTTGAGGGTGGAACTGGTAAAATCATTCCTTAAATACCTGACTTGCTTTGAAAATCCTATTAAGGTTGCTATAAATTGGTTTAGACTTGACAGCACATAAAAACAGCAATCTAATTAGGACTAGCATTAAATTTAGACCATACTCTTTAAAAGTAACTTGAGAATCAGTGGTTCAAGTACATCACATTAGAACCGGAAAGCTTTAGAGTGGATCTACACTCCACAGTTATCTCAGATTCATACCAATTCGACACCACTTTATTTGCCATGACTCCCTCAAGGAATCCTGGGATTAGTTAGGTACTTAGAATTCCCTTCTAGAGAGCTGGAGTAACTTGCCTGTACTGCAGAGGAGCATTCCATTAGATGTGACCTTGGCAGTTAAAGTGTATTCAAGCCTTTCTGCTGTGTAGTTCAGATACTCTGCTTGGTACAAACCTCCTCTCGGTCATGAATAGCATTGAGTTACAGACTTCTCTGGCCGCAAAATTTAGGTTTGACTTGCAGCCTGAGAATTGACTTACAGACCAGAAAAAAACCAAAATGGAACAAAAACGGCCTGTTACGGGATTAATCGGTTTTCAATGCACTGTAGGTCAATGGAGACTTGACCTACAGACTTTTTGACTTGAGAACCGCCTTCCAATACGGATTAAGTTCTCAAGTCAAGACCCCACTGTACTCTACTTGGTACAAACCTCCTCTCAGTCATGAATAGCACTGGCTGACCTTGAAATGGTCGCTGCATCTCCTACCCATTGAACATTGTTTTGAGGACAAATGAGAGAGGATATAGGAATGATGGAGGACTATGTAAGTTGACTTGGCTCCACAGAGGAAAGGCAGACTATGAATATATAAAATTTAAGATGTTATTGTATAATAAAGGACTCTGTCATGTGAGTTCCCACCCACCTTCAGTGGTACAGTTTTCAGCTAAGCCCAAGGAACAGTGCCAATCTGCCTTTATTCTGAGAATTTATGAATGTATAAATATATGATTATGAAGCAAAGATTTTCAATTGTTGGGATTTTTTAATTATTATTATTATTATTTATGAAGAAATATATTCAAGATGTATGTTACCAGGCAAAAACTTCCTGGCATAACCTTGCCCTGGTATAACCCAGAATGGGTACCAGAAGAATATAATTTAAAATTATTAGTCTCTTCTGATCCCCCTTGATTTAAGTTCCTTCTACATGGCTCCCCTTTGCCTTGGGAATCCTTTGGGAGCCTTGGCATGTGGAGGAACCCATGTGGTTTTAGGATGTGGGGTTTTCATTCCCCTTCCCATGGATCCCAAAATTTTCCCCAGGGCAACCGGAAGCCCTAGAGAACCTCATAAACTAAAAAGGGGGACAGGATGCTTTTCATTACCTGATCCAGATTACACAAGGCAACTTTACACAACAGGATTTTGCCCACGGTTTTCAGTCCTGCTAAGGCCTGAACAGTGTGTCTGCTCTGGTATCTTATGAAGCCCACCTCCTTTGGTGGGTCTTTCAATCTTACCCCAGTTGCAGTTTGAATTGAATATTTTGATGTCTGTAAACAGAATCTAGTAAAGTGTACAGTGGAACCTCTACTTACAAACGTCCGTACCTACGAATGATCCAACTTACGAACAGCTCCATTCACAAAATTTTGCTTCTTCTTGTGAACGGAGCTTCAAGATACAAACAGAAAAACTCAGGGGGAAAAGGCGGGCAATTCAAATTTCTAATTAGGTAGTGCCGAGGCTGCTTCTTTGTGCTGTAGCTTTTTCGGCAGTTATAGTGTGTGTCACAGTTGGAGGCTTGGGAGAGCTTCCTGCTTTGGAGTGAGCCTGTGTGTGTGTCTGCAAGGAGGTAAGCTCCTGTTTTCTCCTTTAAAAACTGTTCTGGGTGGGTTTTGGTGTTTCTGTGCTGTGTTGTTAGTGGCTCTGCTTCGGAGTAAGCATGTGTGTGTGTCTGCTGGGAGGGTATGTTTCTGTGCTTTGCTTTGGAGGAGTGTGTGTGTGTTTGTGTGTGTGTGTGTGTGTGTGTGTGTGTGTGTGTGTGCAGGGCTCTGGAGTTTTTTCTTCTTCTTAAACCTCAGCAACAGAAGTGGCTCTAGTGTTTGTTTTTTGAGGTTTTTTCTTAAAGCCTCAGCAACAGAGCACCTTCCGACTGGGCTTGTTGTGCTCTTTTTATTTATTTATTTATTTATTTATTGGTGATTTTTCTTCGGCCGGAACGGATTAATCAGTTTTCAGTGCATTACTATGAGAAATGGTGCTTCTACTTACGAATGTTTCAACTTACAGCCACGAGGTTCCACTGTATTAGGCTTGAAGAAGGAAAATCTAAAAGAAGAAATTGAACTCTTAAAAATTAAAAGTCATATATATTGGCAGGGCTCTTTGAAGGTTACCTTTGAGTGTGGTAACCCTAAGCATCCTCCCTCCATTGTTCCTATAATGTTAGAATTCTGTGATCACATGGGAGGTATGAACAGTGTGCTTCTCTGGAGATGTGACATTGGGACCAGTCATATCACCAACTCCTTGGACATAATCTCAGTCGTCAGGAATTGGCTAAATAACATGTTAAGAAGTCTTTGCTGACTGAGGACAAATGACTGAAAATGTTCATTTCATGTGTATGCTAAAACTGCTTAGATACAGCTCTAGTCTTTTCCTCAAAACCTGGTGTTTCACATTGAACTATATGTTCTGCAACAGTGGGGTTTTGTGTGCTTTTTAGGCACAGAAACATTTTCTTAATGGTTCACATGGCTAAAACTGGGAACCATCAAGAAATAATTTGAAGACTTGATCTTTGCTGGATGAGAATAAGCATTTCAAACTAATATCATGAAAGCTGAAATTCAAGGAATTAGTGTAAACAGCAAATGTCAGCGGTGTTAAGAAAAAGATGACACTGTGTCACACCTCATTTGTGAAGGTTCAAAGATTGCTCAAACAGGCTACAAAGATACAGTAGAGCTAATTAATACACTGGTCAATATGTTAAAAAAAAAAAGATCTGTCAGCATCCAAGAATCTGTAGGAACACCACGTAGAGAAAGTGTCGGAAAACAACCAAGTTGAGATTTTGTGGAAGTTTCAGATTCAAATGGACAGACACCTTGAGCATAATACACCAGACATAACAGTAATACAATGAAGAAATGTCTGTATAATTGACATTGCAATTCCAGGGGATGCCAGAGTTGAAGATAAAGAATTGGAAAAAATAACAAAAATATGGAGACATGGCAATAGAAATGAATGGATGAAACACATTTCAGTGGTCCCCATAGTCATCAAGGCACTGGGAACAAAGCTGTGGAATTTTATGAAATATTGTAACCTGCTGTAGTTCTCTGAACTAACACCATCAGAGCTGCAAAAAGGGCAATATTAGGAACAGCGTATATATTACACCAATGTTTAACTTTAGTTACAATTTGTATCTGTTCCATAAAACCTGCCAATGTTTTTATGACTTTGTTTTTTACTGTTTTCATATTTTCAAATAATAATAATTACTTTAGAAATGAAATATTCTTCAGATTTTAATTTATTACCTTAAAAAACTTTTAGTTAATCACCCTGAGAACAAACCCAGATGCTGCCACTCGGAACAGAGGCCTCCAGTTTACTCAAAATCAGAAGAAAGATGACTCAAAAACATCAACGTCTGTCACCAGTGTCAACCAAGCCAGCACGTCTAGGTTAGAAGGACTACAATCAGAAAACCACCAGCTGAGAATGAAAATAACAGAGGTATTGCTAACAGATTGTTCTGTCTTGTGGGCACTACATGCATTTTCAGTTTATGGACCCATGGAGCTCTCAGAAAATAAGCTAAAGTAGGAGGAGGTCTATAGTTGGACTTTCTGGTGTTTTCATTTGAAAGCGTTTATGGACGCCAAGTTGAATTGAGACCACAGTGCTATGAGGGAGAGCTCTAGAGCTTAGAAAGTTACTTATAAAAGTAATTTGTTATGGGAGTAATTCCAATTTGTTCATTCAACTTGGAAAATATTAGTAATTCATTATGTTCCAAATTGCATTCCACATTTCAGTCCATTTTTTAAAAATCCATTTAAAAATGTTGAAACTGGCATAATATTTAAAACAATTCCCAATGTGTCCAAAGCATTTTTGCCCCTCAGTAATTAAGAGTAAACACTGCATGTTATGTGTTGTCAGTCATTCAATTATTTTGCATATTCTTGCCTCAAAATGGAGCATGTGATATTTCTTGTAACACATTGCTTCCAAGCTCTGAAGACTTTACTCCTGCAAGTATTTATCTTTCTATTACTTCCTCTATTTCCATTTCTAAATTGCTAATCCAGAACACAGCACTTTGCCCCACTATGAAAATAAAAGTGTTTGTCCTAGGGCCAATAACAGTTTCAAAGTTCTGATTTTTCAAAAATCCAGTTATTAGTCTGTTTCGTACGCTGGTATCCTACTGAGAAAACCCCCATTTTCCTAATGGTTACAAGGATCAGTCACATAACAGGCCATGCAATGAGAATGTGTTGGAGTGGAGTTATGCAATTCCCCCTTCCATTATGAAAAGTATATTGACCTTAATATTTATATTTCTTTTTTCTATATGGACATTTCTAGACTAAATATCCACTTCTTGCAGTGGACATTCTATTTCTCATTTGTTACGGGGCAGGAAAGTGGCAGATGTGACAGGCACTTTTTGCTGTTTTGTTAATTTTGTCAGGAGTCTAGTCTGGATGTAATAAATACTCCTTCTTTATTATTTACTCCTTCTTGTTGGAGTAACCAAGTAGGACTGTTTAGATGGCATACACTAGTAGTCTAAGACGATTTCTCAGTGGTCTTACTTTATCATTATATCTGAATATTGCCAGAGATTTTTTTTAGAAAAAAGGTTTTTTTTAAAGTTGTACTAACATGACTATGTATTTAAAGGTGCTATAATGTATTTAAGGTGTATATGTTTTAAATAGTTTTTAATTATTTTAAAATTATTTTTGATTATTTCTGTGTGCTGCGGTATATAACCATTACAGACCTTATGGACAAATATATATATATATATTTGTTTTAGGAAGCCCGTCTATTTTAGGCAAAGCCTCTGGGTTGTTTCGTGTTTTCCCATTCATGTTTTCATGTTTTCTGGCACTCTAAAAGCCGTCAGAAGCCTTTAAAACCTTTTCAAACTACTTCAGAAAAGCAGCAGCAAGGCAACAGAAAATCAGTCTTCTAAAAAAAAAACCCACAAAAAAACAGGCAAAGGTACATAAGAAAGAAAAATCATCATGAGAACAATGCAAAAAATACCCATTTCATCCACCAACCAATTCAAAAAGCAGCCAAGATTTAGAAGAGAGAAAGCAAAGGTATAAGTTCACAATAACCCACAAAGCACAAAAGACAAATGCAAGAATAGGCAATACCTTTATAGGCCACTAATTAAAAAAATCATACAATAAGCAAGCTTTTGTGGCTAAATCCCACTTCTTCAAAGTAAGTATCAAAAGATCAAGTGTTTGTGGTAAAAGTTTGCATATTGTATGCTTTTTAAAAATTTTTATTAGTGGCCTATAAAAGTATCGCCTATTCTTGCATTTGTATTTTGCAATGGCCATGAGTATCTCCCCCCCCCCTTTTATTTCAAGCACAAAAGAGGCTCTCTGGGTGTTGGCTGCACAACAGAGAAAAAGACAAAGAAGCAGCCAGCCAAGCACTGGCTATGTGGCACACAAAGATATCTACTTACCAAAGTAACCAACAACAACATAACACCAAGAACAAGAGAGAAATGCTCACACAGTCCAAAGGCACATTGAAACAATGGACCGACACATCCCCACATTAAAAAAATATCTCATACACCAAAGAAAACACCTCCCCAAAAACCCATTAAAATATACCTTTAGCAGAATAAATACACATGTTCAGCATTTCAGCTCCCTCTGAGACCTTCTGACTAGCTGCTGGTTGCACCAACGCTACTGGATGGAAGATTTCTCGGTTGATTTGAAAGACAAAAGGAGAAAGAAAGGTAACATGAAAGAGGGAACAGAAAACAACCCAAAAGAAACATAAAACTTTTATGTACCCCTCTTTTGTAAACACAAATACATTTTTGTTTAAGAGGCTCTTAGCAATTGATGAAGACACATGAATTACATGAAAGAGAACCTCTTTCATGTTTGGGTCACTTTGGACAGTGGTGCAGTTATACAGCAGTATAGTGCCATTTTAAAGCACAGTAACTTTTCAACCAGACAAGAGTGACCTTCCTCTTTTGCTGGGCTTGCATGTCCAGCTTGTCCAGTGGGCAGCTGGATAGCAGTGTCTGGGGTGGTTGAGGAGCATGGTGGCCGTGGCAGGGCCAGGGAGAAACCAACCACTGCCGCTGCTCTCCCAGCCATTTTGTTGCCCAGCTACCTGTGGGAAAAGCAAGCCTTGCCAGAGCAGGAAGGGCAGCAGAGTTCTCACCTGCTCCTCAGGCAGCAAAATCGGAGATGCTAAAGCTGAGTCCCAGGGCAAAGACAATATTGCCAGCTGGTTGGTACTGGGATGCTTCCCAGCTAGTTTGCACTTGCCAACTAGCATTTTTCTTACCCGGGTGCATGGGTGGCTAGTGGCTCCATTTTACCACATTAAAATATATGTGTGATAGGAGCAGTTTCACTCCAGACTGCTGATAACCCACACTAAGCTTTTTGTTGAGAGTTACCTGCAACATGTTATTTCCAGTCCAGAATTGCATCCTGGTGTCCCATTCGCAGCAGATTGCTCTTCCATTTTACTGTTTTCTTTGCCTTCTGCCAACCTAGTTCACTGTCTTCTCTCTTCTCTCCTTCTTTTGCCCATAAACAGGGCGTGAAGGAGTAGAAAGATGCCCATAAGGAAATACAGCAAATTATACACACCAACTCTGTTGACATGTGTTTCAGTCTTCCACTATGTGAACACCAAGATGCAGCACTGGTATTACAAGTACAAGGAAAATTTTAAAAAATGCTCAGGTTTGAGAAAAGAGGTCTAAAACATCATTGCCCCAATTTAATCTCACATCTTCAGTTGCTTTCTACGTTAAAAATTAAAAAAAAATTCAGAGGTGCAATCATGGACCTTAAATAACTCTTTCTTTCATAATGTTTAAAAATATCTTGTCAATGTTCAAAAGAATCTTGGCATTTGAGATGCAAACTTGCATGCTGACATATTCTGTCCAGGAGTATACCAGCTGTTGCTGAATACTGGTGTATTCGAGGGGTCCTGAAGTGTTCATTCTTTGACCTCCGGTCGAATAGTGCCTTTTTCATTTTTCTCAAACATGTAAATATGCACTCGATAAAGAAACTACAGAAAATTATCCTAAAGTGTTTGATGGAATTAAATGACATGTTATAACCATCTAAAATTGGCTTCAATTTACCGAGGAGTTTGGGGTAAAACTCTCAGAACAAAACTTTGGATTACAGATTTTTAGCACTGCATAAGATGTAGTTACAAAACAGTACAAAGCCCTTTCCTAATTTTTGATATGTATTTATTCATTTGCTTGACTGATTTTCTGTTGCCCTTTTGAATCTGGAAGAATCTTTATTTACACAAAATATGGAGCTGCAGTTTTATCCCTTCTAATCTGTTCCCCCCCACATACACACACATTGTATTGTATGTTTTAGTTCATAAACCTGAGGGCAGGCGCCCCCCCCCCCCCCACACACACACACTGTATTGTATGTTTTCGTTCATAAGCCTGAGGGCAAGCACTCTTGTATTATTGATCATTATAAGCTTCTGTAGGAGTCTTTTTTTCAGCTACAGAATTAAATTAAAAACTGTAATGGTAGCAATCATCATAGCAGTTAAAACTACATTTTCTTCTTCTTCCAAAATACAGCATTGTTCTGAGGGTAATATATTCACTTCTTAAATAACCCAGTTCTCATTAGGTTGTTCTGGTGCTCTCATCTCATATTTTCAACCACAACCAATAGATTTTCTGCAACTACTTCCTGAAACAGTAGGGTGCACGTCCCTAATTTCCCCCATGCCAGTGGCAAATTGGGGGGGGGGGCACGCACTGTAGTCTTAAAGATTCATAGGGTTTATCTCTGTGAATTCTTCAGTAACCCCATGCTATTTCTTATTGTCATTTTTTGTATGGGAGGAAGTACATTGCCCCTTCTTTTTTTTAAGATGGAGCTTCTGCTATTTCACATAATTGCTTCATACTTGAGGGAGGAAGCTAAGCACTTTTAGATCCCATTATTAAATCTCTCCCTAGATCTCAATACCATACTTTAAGTATCAAAATCTAGCTCAGTTGCATTATGGCAATATTGGACAATGTTTTTTTTTGGCTGGAGGGAGAAATGGAGTGGGGAGAAGCTCCTTGTCAAATGGATTTTAGTAGTATCTGTCTACCGGGAGTCTCTGGGTTTGATATTAAAAACATTTGCTTTTGAGTTGGCCTCAGCCCTTTCATCTCAGATTACAGAGTGCTTTATTTTTGTCCTACTGTCTTTCAAAGTTATGTTTGATGTTTATTTCATCTTATCATTCTTATATGAAAAAAAGAGATCTCTTTTATGTATTTCTGCATGGACGTGAGGCATTTCAGCAGGGCTGGCTTGACGTTTCTTGGCAGGCCATCTTCAGATAAGAGAGACAGCTCCCTGCATATGCTCAGCACATGCAGCACCAAGCGTGAAGGCAGGCATGTGGGCAAAGAGGAGTTTGGTGGCTGCTGTTTAACTAGGGCTTAGAAGCATTGCTTTTGGGGCTCCAAATTCTAAGTGAGCTGGCTAGAAAATTCCGGGAGTTGGATTTTTTTTTTTAAAAAAAAGCAACATTTTCCATTTCTTGTCTTTGCAATTGCTGTCGCCATGATATGGAGGAAATCGAATGACTAATGAACATGAATTTTTTTAATTAAAATAATAAATAATAAAAAAAGACAAAAATCCTGTGGCACCATAAAGACTAATGGTTATATTTTAATGTGAGCTTTCGTGGACTAGTTCACTTCTTCAGACATATAGAGTAAAATATGGAATTCACAAAGTAAAACATTCATGCCAGCTTTAAGTCGGTGGTGTATGATTGCATCTCACATGTGCAGTAATTTATGATCTATGTTTGGTGTTCAGTTATTTTGTAGTCTGGTTTTGTAAACATTCCAAAAAGAGAAAGAAAATAGAAAACAAAGCTAGAGCAAAAAAGGGAAGAAGGGGGTTGTGGTGCTGTAAAGACCAAGTATGAGCAGTAACATGATTAAAGGAGACAGCAGAGGAACAATGTATGTTAGTATAGAGAATATTAACAGTTTTTACCTTTGAGTCTTGTACTGAAAGATGGGCTTGGTAGTTGTGAAGGAAAATAACAGTTGACAACAGCATAAGTCTTATATTTAGTAATTAGTTAAAAAACACTGACATATTCAATCCATTCATTTGGGTGTCCATCATATGTATACATTTTATATCAGTTGTTTTCAACTGTATTCTTGTTCTCTGGTATTTCTTTTCTAGAATAGCAACTTTCATATCTTGTGAAGAGTGTCCTGACTGAAATGGCTGGAGACATATTTCTGAGTGTTGTGGTTTCTAATGTTTGATTTATGTCTGTTTATGAACATTGGTTGAGGTGGAACACCAGCACTAGTGAGTTCACTCACTCAACCTTTTCCCATTCTCATTGGGAATGATTTGCACAAAGAACTTTGGCTCCCATGGAAGAACAGAGTCTATTTGTGAGTCATGGAGACAGATGGAAGTAATAGTTCTATTTTACCTTGCTCCCTGGTTTTCACTAACGCAAAGTGGCCTGCAGGGTAACCTCGGCTTCTACGGTGCTCTGGAATTGTCCTGTTCTGGTTGGGAATCAGACAACTATATTGCCCAAAATAAATGACTGATAATCTTTAATCTGAGTTTAACATCTACTGACTTCTCCACTTCAACAATTTAAATCTTAGGCCATATCAACACTGCATGAATACAACAGTTTGATTCCACTTTCACTGCCATGGCTCCGTCCTATGGAATTGTGGGATTTGTAGTTTGGTGACTTAAAATTCTCAACTAGTATTGAATCCTTGAACAACTGTAGAGATTTTTTTACTGCCTCACCAAACTACAAACTACAAATCCAACTATTCTGTAGGATGGAGCCATGCTAATTAAAATGGTTGAAAAAATGCACAACCTCAGGTGGGGTTACAGGCTACAGAGGCTGGAAGGCAGGCCTGCCATTGGAAATTTGAAATAGTGGGGCTGGCAAGCTTTGTGTTCCTTGGGCACCACAAGATCTGACCCTTAGCAGCTTGATTCAAAGAAAGGTTCTATTCACAATGGAAAAGTCAAATCTTTTTGCTGTGGATTTTCTGGGGTTTCTGAATAGATTGTCCACATAGTCATTTCTAAACGAGTTACTGCTGCCCTCAGAAAGGGCTCTTTCGGCTTTTTCTCAAAGTATCTGATCACCTGCATTGACTATTTAACTAACCTGATCCTTTCTTCTGCTAGAAGCTGGTTTATTTTAGAGGGTGAGCACACAAGCAGAGCTGTGGAAGCAGAACATCAGAATTGTCAAAAAAAAAACACCCAAAAACGATAGCTTTATATGAATGTAATCTGCAAAAAATGTAAATAACAGTAGCTTTAAATGTAGACCCATTGTTCAAAATTAGGGTCTTCATATGCTTTTGGACCATCCAGCCAGCATCAATAGAACCCAGATTTTAGTAACTGTGCTCTATTAACATCTGGTAGGTGTCTGATTGCCTAACCCTGATCTACAGGTATCATAGAGAATATGTGCTGATACAACAGGCTGAGGACGTATCTAGCACTGTCAGGATATTTACTACAGAAATACAGGCACACTATCAAATGCTAGAATTGTAGTGAAGCTTTTTTGTGTGTATTTTTCTGCTAAGCCAGTGAATTATTTGTTGGTGCATTACACCATGCATATTGGTATTGGTATGCAAGGGACCCATAGTATTTCTCTCCAATTACATAACCATGGGTACTATAAAAAAAGATGTGGGGGGTGTTTTTTGCTAGCTGCTGCTCTGTGGACGTTTTACTAGAAATATTTGCAGTTATTTTGCATGTGTGCCATTGCACACGTTTGTGAGGTAGCACCATATGTATATGTATGGATCTTTCATTGATAAACAGATTGGATGAAACAACAATGAAGGCCAAATAGCAGATGCTACAGTATTTTTGTAAAATATGTTTCCTTTGTCAGCTGGATAAAGCTTTGGAAGAAGTCACTATGCAGCTTCAGGACACACCTGAGAAGACAACATATATTAAACAGAACCACTATCAGGAGCTCAATGATATTCTCAGTATACGGAACTTTACAGAAAACAAAGGTACGAAGCTATGAGCCCCAATATGGATTTTGATATATGAATGACATATGAATGGCTTTTTTGTGTAGTTCCCAATATTCAGCTAATTCAATTTTTATATATGCAACATGAACATGAATATTTGGGTTATATACAGTAGAAAAGCATATTTATGCCTAGATGTACAGGCAACCTGTTGTATTTCTCAAACTTTGAACTGGGGTGTCTCGCATATTTGAATTTCCTTTCCCCTCACTCTGTATCTTATTTCCAGAAATCTGTTCCATAGGCCTGTATTTGACGAGTCTCACATACAGTTGCTCCTAGCCCCCTACTGCTGCATGTCAAGATTTATGTCTTGGTGCACATGAGAAAAGGAATGGGATGATTCGTAGATAAGCTTAAGAAGGACAGGACCAAACATATTCCTGCTCCTAAAAATGAGAGATGTAGAAAACAAGTACAGTAGCTCCTCCTAAACATGCTTCTTTGCAAAACAGGTTGAGATAATAGAGCAAGGAAAATGAAATATCCCTCCAAATCTAATACGTAGGATCGTGGGGTAACATTCAGCCCACTCAAGTGTTATCTGGAGTTTGAGAACAAGTTCACATGGGAGGTGGAGTACTTACAGGTATTGTGATCTCCAGCCATTTATGGTTTTATAGGTGTGAACCAAGATGCTTTACTTGGATTTAGAAACAAACTGAAAATCAGCTAAAATTATTCAAAACCAGTGGTATATAGTACTCATACCAGATAATGGGCTGGCTACCACACCATTAAAGGGTGGCCCCACATTTGGATGTATTATTGTAATATAGGTGAGCCATAGCAGGGTGAAATCGTACAATTGGAAACTGCAGAGATCAACTCAGAAGAAATGAGATGGCTTAAACAGTGATGCAGAGTGGTCCGTTGGGCCAAATAGGCGGGGTATAAATCAAATAAACTAAACTAAACTAAACTGCTTTAACACGATATATCTACCAGTTTTCAACTTCACATTTTTAGTCCAACAACATGTTTTTAAATAAACCCAGTTATGATACAATGCAGGGGATTCAGGAGATAGGCTTTGTGGGATGTTCTGCCTCATGCTCCAAAATAAGTGGTCTGGCTTAAGGTACCATGTAGGCTTTGTGGGATGTTCTGCCTCATGCTTAAGGTACATTCTTCTTGGGTGAATGTGGGATGTCATATGCTCAGCCAACAGCAGTGCCATCACATTTCTTTACTATATATACAGTGCACAGTCTGTGCAGTGACAAAGCAGTAACACAATAAATTTCAGAAGCTATGGATCACTGGTCTGATGAAGGCATCTAGCCCTCCTGGAGCACCACCTAAGTTCTTTGAATGGTGGGGCACCTGTTTTTGATGTAGATTACAATTTCAGTCCTGGTTTGAGACTGGTTGGAGGTGGGTTCCATACTAGCTTTGCAGGGATAATTCCACCCTTGTCTACTGACCAGCAAGACGTAATGTTTATTTAGATTAAATATCAGGTTTGTTTCCCCACATTGAGTTGTTCACTGTATCTAGGCAATAGTTCAGGACTTTCACAAGCCTCCTTTGCCCCAAGTAGAAAAGAAAGAGCTGAGTATTGTTAGCACAGTGATGAAGTCCAAGCCTACAGCACTTGACCTCTCCTAATGACTTCATGTGGATGGTAAAGGGGTAGGAGACAAAGTAGACCTATTCAAGCAACACCTGTCCCCTGTCTCCTGAGAGAGTTCAGCCAAATAGAACCGGAAAGATTACACAATCGGCAGAATACCTGGCCAGCCAAACACCTCGGAAGCATACCATGGTCAATGGTATCAATGCACTAACATTTTTAATGAGGAAACTTTTACCTTCTCTACCTTCAGAAGGAATCAGACCCTTTCCTTTTGTGTTTCCTTTCTACCAAGTTTGAATATGTGGCATTTTCATTGCAGAAGGCTTAAGTAAAACATGGCTTATGATCATCCAAGTCCATAGAGATATGTGACCCGATTCCCTTTCCCTCCATGTCTCTTGATCATTTTCTGTACTGATAGACTTTCTTAGGGACTGGACTGTGCAGCATTGCAGATGGCACAATCAATACTTGGAAACACAAGAAGTTCCTGTGAGGCACATTATGTGGCCAATTTCCTCTTTTATCCGAGAAATCCTGTTCCCTAAACAAATTCTTCTGGAGGGGCTGCCAAGCTGAGGCAGATTCCTTCCTGACCAAGAACAACGTCCTCTCATTCTGGGCCAGCTCCCACCTTGTAGTCAGCTGCATGTTTCCTCTTTACGCTCTTTGCCCTTTTCTTCGTGCATGTCTGCTGCTGCAAGAACCACTTCTCTTGAGATATGACCCCAAGCCATTGGTGATCACAGGCTAACTTTGCAAGATTTGTGTACTGTAATTGGCTGTGTCCCTATAGTGTCAGCATTCACAAACGGTGCCTCCACATTACTGTAGTTCTTTCCAAACCATTTTGTAGCACACTTGCTTCTGCTGCTGCACATGCCATAACTGCATGTCACCGGAGCATGACAGAGAACACCCACATGGTATGTAACCATGCAGTCTACCCTAATCACACATTAAAAAGTCTCTAAAGCCTGTGTCAGTAAGAACATAGAAGGCAACTGATGGAGTCTCATGCTGGCCTACTAGTTCAGCCATGGCTACACTGACTTGCAGTCCTATTGATTTGTATCTGGGATCATCGGCTTTTAAAGTATGTGCTCTATTCCAGAGCTGCAGTGCTTCTCCATCCATCTACTCACTATGTGATTTTTTTGTTATTCACATTATTAGCATGGGTAAACAAAATGCAAGCAATAGGCATGAATAGGCACTAATAGCGCTTCTCTATTAATTACATTACAGGTTCACGGCACAGTAAAAATTAGGTGATTTACTCTATTGATTTTAACGGCACAGTTGCACTCATGTATACGGCACCACACAGTAGTGTTACTGCTTGTAAAGGAGAATTCATGCCCTACTTATTCCCAACAACCTGTAGCACCTATGCACATCTAGACTGTGCTTCCCATATGCTGAACATATGAAGGTCTACATAAGGAGACCATGGCGGTGGGGCAGTACTCACCCTGCCTCCCTGTGTCATCACTGATACCCTTTGAGCCCTCACATGTTTTTAGGCAGAGCTTTTCACTTTCAAAAAAAAAAAGATCAGCTACTGGCTAGGAGAATTCAGAAACCCCAGTGACTCTTGTAGATGGTCATCATCTCAGAAGTGAGAGACACAAAGATGCAGTTCATAACAGTACCAAGAACCCGTCTGATCCATAGTCCTCTGAATATTGTAATCTCTCAGTCTGATAATATTTTACAGTTCTGATGTACAAAAGAGTCTGCCCTGGCAGAAAACTGTTCTGGGTCACTGAGCTGCAGCTGTTTTCCCAAAAAGTTGTGGTTCTTACTGAACAAACCTGTCACATCATTTCACTGTGTTCTATGCCCAGAACAAAATCAACCTCCTCCTAGCAGGCATAATTTTCTCAGCAAAGGATGAAGCCAGGCCCTATGCCTAGCATAGCCAAGAGGGGCCAGGCTGTGGAACAGAGCTTTGTCTTCCTTTAATGAAAACTCCAGTCAAGTGGTATGAATGAAAAACGAGCTAACACTTTGAATCCTACCAGAGGTTAAATACTCTGGCAGTCACTTTGTGGCTGTGACCCCAGGTACAGACATTAAACACATGCTCTGCTGTGCAGTTCCTCTCTTTTCCTTGGGACTCAACAAGACATTCTGCATGAGTCTCACTGAAGATATGGTGATACAGCTCCTTCGCTCACCTTGTTTTTTATCTCGTGCAATGGCACATGAAAAAGAATTGTTAAGTGTGTGTCTCGTTTACTTAGGCGTGAAAAAAGTCAGTGACAGGCAAGAATCTTTTTCTTTGTAGAGTCACTTTGAATATGTATTAAAATAGGCAATGCTACTGTAAATAGATCTGAAGTTCTCAAGAAAAACAGGTGACCATGGTTTTAATTCAGCACTGTTCCCAATAAAGGATTGTGATCAGATTCTTGGCACGCAAGCCGCCTAGAGTGGACTTATAGTCCAGATAGGCGGGATATAAATTAAATAAATAATAATAATAATAATAAATAGCAAGGCGCCCTCTGTTAATGCGCCAGAAACCTCACTAAGGGATACTCCAAATACATTACATGAGAAACTGTCCACTCTGGACGGTGTTTTGTCTTTTTGTTGTTGTTCCTTAAATCAGTCCTTTGAAAAAAGAAGGACCTCCCCCAGAAGCTGTCCTTCTTGTCACAAATGTTTAATTAGTGCTTAGGGAAGATGTTAATGTCTGCCAAGGCACTCTGCTTTCTCTTCATATCAGGGAACGTCTATCTATTTCTCTCTTTTTTAAAAAAAAAAACTTGCTGTTATTACATTTATTGCTTATTATTCTTATAGCACTACCAATAGACATAGCCTTTTGCATAGGACTGGGTGAGAGATCAGGAGCTGGCTGCCCAAAGATGTTAGTTGCAGCCCTTCCAAAGGAATCAAAGAGCAGATTGTATTTGGTCTGAGACATCAGGAACAAAGTCAGGGTTTCAGAGCACATACTGTAGAAAAATATTGAGCAATTTCACTTCATGTTTTTCTGAAAGGAAAAGAGGGAAGGAGAATAAGTAGGAATCAATTATTTACCTGCTGGTGCTGAATTTCCAAGCTTGGGCCATTTTTATGTGAGTGTGTGCCTGCAATCCCGGGGTGGAGGGGCTCCTGAGGCAGATATGGGGCTCAGCATAGGGCATTTCTTCCTCAAAGCTAGAAGCATGGCCTGAAACCCTTGGGAGTGGGGGAGCGGGAGGGGGGCTGCAAGGAAGTGCAAGGGAGAACTGCTCTCCTTTCCTTCTCCATCCAGCAACCAACTGCGTTTTAAACTGCAGTCCTGTGGTTCCTAGAGGCCATTCCAGGGAGCATAGCATCTTTCGGATTGAGTGCAGAAGGAAGAGAGTCGGTCTCAGTAATGAGGCTCTGACTTTTTAAGTCTCCTGTGTGGAACAATCCTCAGCTATTATTGATGCTGAGTAGACTATGTCTAAATGGGCGGCATATAAGCTCAATTAAACAAACAAACAAAGAAAGAAAGAAAGAGAAAGAAAGAAAGAGAAAGAAAGAAAGAGAAAGAAAGAAAGAGAAAGAAAGAAAGAGAAAGAAAGAAAGAGAAAGAAAGAAAGAGAAAGAAAGAAAGAGAAAGAAAGAAAGAAAGGTTAAAAGGGGGTGTTCAGAAAGAGGCTGCAAATCCTCAGGATCCCAAGCCTTCCGGTCAGGTGCCATGTGTCCAGGATAAGGAAAGATAAGCTAACTCCAAGGACTAGCAGAATTAATTTCTCTCTTCCTGGAACAATCAGAGGGAAGCTATTAAGGGAAAGAAAGAAAACTCCCAAAATGAAACACTAACAAAGAGATTATTGAATTCTTTGCAAAATATTCACTGACTTCAGTTAGTCAATTAAAAGGAAAGAAGTAGAACCTTATTTTTAAAAAGCCAAGACAGAGTTCATTTTCCTACAAGAAACTCCCTTCATGGAAGAAAGGTTTAAGGGATTTTATGTACACCCACACACAAACACTTGCACCATTTCAGTATATTCACTCAGGGTAAGACTAAGAAACATTAATTTAGCTCATATACTGCTATATATAATACAAAAACTACAGGAGCACCCATCATGGTTTCTGGAAAAAAAAACCTCATTGGAAATTTAAAAACTGATTAATGGTTGGGATTTGGAAGGAAGAAGATTTATACTGGCTGGAAACTTTAATACTGTATGGGAATAAGTTTAATAATGGACAGGAGATCAAGATTATAATTAACTACACCCTGAACATAAATGCTTGAAATTTTGGATTATAAAAGCTATTAATAAAAATATAATGAGACTTGTATGTATGTATGTATGTATGTATGTATGTATGTATGTATGTATGTATGTATGTATGTATGTATGTAATATACCACCCTATTAGTCCAGCACACTAGTCTGAGTGGTTTACAGCAAAATAAAATATAACCCTACCACAAATAAAACCAAGAGACTATAAAACATAATACAAAAGGCTTAATATCAGTTATCAGTTCCAATTCAGTAAGCCTATAGATCACAGTACATGTTGTTTAAATAGGTGTTGAACTTCTGTTCAGCAATTGATTCAATTAAGCTCTCTGTGGTTGAGACAACCAATAGGATACTGGCCTATGTGTTTTATTCATAAATTATACATTCAGATTTTTTTATTACAGCATTTCAAACATTATTAAAAACATTATCAAAATACGTTGTTGCTATGCATCTTCATTCATATGCCTCTGTGAACCTGCGTGGGTACACATGTCAATAGGAATGTCCAAGGGTGTAGTACACATACAGGCAGACTTGTTCACTATTTCTCATCAGAGTAAGAAGTAAAATCAGTAAAAATGATTTTACCCATTTAAGCCTAAAAGCAGACTTGTACACATACAGGCAGACTTGTTCACTATTTTTCATCAGGGTAAGAAGTAAAATCAGTAAAAGTGAGGAAAGTAGCTCAAACACCCATTTAAGCCTAAAAGCAGACTTAGTTGTAAAAGATTTTGTTCTTTTTTAAATAGTCACGAGCAGTACCAAAGAGAGTTTTGGTGGTAGTCCACACACATTCCAGTGAAGAGATAGGAATCTTTAATTCTGTTGTTATGGCCTACACCTCCTATAAATCCCATCCAGTATGGTCATGGAAGTTGTAGTCCAAAACAATGGAAGGGCTGAAGGCCTCCCTCCCCACCTCTGTCCTAGTGTGGCAAATAGTACATTGGCTCTAATAAGTTTAATATAAAGGTGACAAAAATCGAGGTTTGGGAACTTTATTATGTGCTGACAGATGGCTTCAGACTCATGGCAACCATATGAATTACTGATCTTTGAAAGGTTCTTGCAGACTCAAGGGCATGACTTCCTTTATTGACTCAATCTATTTCATACTCAGCCTTCTTCTTCTCCTGCTGCCCCCAACTTTTCCCTACAAACACTAATTTACAGAGCTAGGTATATGCAACCAAGAGAGCTTAGGCAATTATAACAAATAAGAACCACAGGAGCAGAAATGAAATTGATCCTGGAGAAGAGGAGAAACAGAGCACCACAAGATATTTTGGATTCAGGTCCTACAGTCACTGATGACTAGATGTTTTGACTGGGAATTATGGGGCTTGTAGTCTAGCACACCTACAGAGCACCAGGCTGCTTACCCAGAAGTTGGTAGATGGCATAAATAGTTACAATTAACTTCAGAAAAGGGAGAGTCCAAACAGCTTCACTTCCTGTTTGCTAGCAGACACTAAGAAAAATACTGGGAGCACAGACTCTGTCTGAGGTTTATCAGTTTTTAATCATAACATTCCTTCTTCATCTAGATGGTGAGAAAGCTGTACTCAAAAACCACCTTGACCAAAATCCACAAGCACAATGGAATACATCAGAGTCTTCTAGAACAAGCAAAGACTTTATAGAAGATATCAACTCTCCTGAACAGTAAGTGGCCTGGCTCTTTCTTGGTGCGTGCTGACAAGCTTTCAACTTGCAACTGAACAAGCCTGAAGATCTTTCTAACACATTTTTTTAAAATATTTACAAATTGCTGCATACAAAATTGTGGTACAAATGGTTTTGACAAAGAAGCTAAATACTTGGATTCATGCATAGTGATGGTATATGGATTGCCACAGTGCCCCATCCTGTGTTAGAATTCAGAAGAATTCTAATCATCAGACATGCTCATCATGCTTGGTAATAGAATGGCCTTATGTACATGGCCCTTCTCTTATCATTCATAGTGACCCCTCTCCTCCCCGGGGTGATTCACAGGCAACTACTGTTTTTGTTCTGCAGATGGAGAAAGAAGAAAAAAGCAAAGTAAGGGCTTAATTGGGGAAATGAAGGATTATAAGTGGGCATGGGCCTTCCCCCCACCCCCAGGGAGCTGTAGCCTGAAAAGTGTAATTTAAAGACTAGCTTTTCTCACCTCCATGCAGGCCTTCATTGCCATGATATTAGCCCTTATGGGAATCTCAGCATGCCCATTAGACTCACTATAGGAAAATGCTAAATAGAAGTAAAAATTAAAAAAAAAACCATTTATAAGACTCTATAGAGAGATCTTCACAAAGACCTACTAATTCAATGCTCCCTTGAGACTCCCATGAAACCTTGTACCAATCTCAGGAACCACTAGAAGCTGTTTTCTTCTTTTTGAAAGGCCAGTGTAACAGCAATGGAGGCGAGAAAGGTCCCCTTTTTTAAACTACTGGCGAATTCTAGGAGCTTCAGTCCTGAAGAAACAAAGTCCCATCCCTAATTGTAACTTGCAGGGAGGGTGCTTTGCTCACCCCTCCCTGTGGCTTTGTCTTTCTGCCAACTTGTTCTCTGAATTTATTTGTGGGGGTAAGGTAGCCTGTAGCAGAAACAAAACACACTGAAGGATGCTTTGTTAGCCTAAACTGTCTTCTTGTTTGTCTTTCCCATCTTTACAGCATACAGCGTCGTCTGTCCTTACAACTGCCAATCCTTCACCATGCCTATCTGCCATCAATAGGAGGAGTTGATGCCAGTTGTGCCAGCCCGTGCGTCAGCCCCAGTGCCAGTCCACGACACAGATGTGTGCCACCATCTTTTCGCGTGATGGTCTCTGGCCTGTAGGAGGACATCAGAGCTTCCTGAACTGCTTTTGGTACTCAATGGCTGGACAGAACGTCTTGTGTTGAACTCTTGCCTTCTACATACTCCTTACTCTTCTCACAGAGGAACTAGTGTTATAAGGCCATTGTCAAAAGGAAGACCGGCTCCACAGCTGTGGGAAAGCATGCCAAGTGGAGGCGGTTGCCTGGAGGTTGATCTGTAGCCTTACTTGTGGACATTTCTATTTTTTCACAAAGGAAGACACCAAACCATGTTTCTCCCCAAGTTTCTGCTGGAGGCAAGGTAGCTGGGAATATAAACTTCACAAAGAACAAAGGGAAAAGAGGGGGGAAGACACCCCCCCCACTCAAGCATCACTAAGCTCTACACAGCTACTGAAAGTGTGGAATTGCGTGCAAAAAAAATTTAAAAATCACATCAAACAGAAAGCTATATCAACGGAAATGGATGCACTTTGTGTTGCAGGGATTGCACTCAGCTGCTGGAGGCGCCAGTGAGTTGGGCTGGGATTACATTCTGGGACTATGTTCAATGGGGAGGAGACTTTTAGAGAAATACCTCCACCAGTGTGATTAAGATGACCTCAGCTCTGCTCCACTGCTCTCAAGACACATTTTGGGGGAAAGGATGCTTCAAGCAGGAAGCAGAGCCAGGATTAAAATCTCAGAATGGCTACCAGGTAGAGAGTCAAAAAAGAAACAAGTCTTTACAGCCAGCACTTTCCTTCTACTAAGATACAGGGCTTGGCTGAGTCCCAGGGGTGGCTGTCTGAAAGCAGGCAGAAAACCAGGGCTGACAGTGCTTAAGGCTGAGGGTTGGTACTGACATCTTAATCTTACAAGGTGGATTGTGTTTGGATTTCCCCCCCCCCATCCCGTGTTTGCTTGATTTGAGCCACAACATATTTACAGTACAGTTATAATTTAGTGGAGGGGGAGTGAGTGAGGTGCGTAAGTACCACACTATTGCTGCTGCAGAGGCACTGATAGTATATACACAACTTTTGCTTCGTATCTTTGCGTGTGTGACAGCGACAGCTGAGAATCAAGACAGTCTGAACTAAGTTTGCCAATATGGGGGAAACACCCTTTGCTGTTCGAATTCAAAATCAAAAGGTGAAAAATAGTTTCATTCTGAAAACAAAAAAGGATAGACATAAGCTCTCTCC